GGGTACAGGCCAGAGGCTCAGGGGCGGTGAGAGGCTTCACCAGAGACAGAGTGGGGAGCAGAACAGGCAGATCGACGAAGTACACTGCTGAGGGAAAGCAGCGGGCGGGTCAGGAGAGGTCTGGCTTGCCATGTGGTCTCCTCCGGGGCAGGCGCCATGTGGTCTCCTCCGGGGCAGGCGGCAGGCGGCAGGCGGGAATCAAACTCATGCGGAAGTGGCTTCAGATTCTCAGTGCTGTGCTTTAACCCGCTGCGCCACCTGGGAGGGCCTGGAAGGTATTTTTTAATAGATGGGGGGCACACTTAAGGCTAAGCTCCTGCTGAAATGAGAGTGACAGTATCCTATTTGGAAATGCCCCTTGCACTAACTGAATGTGCTTCCCACAGATTTCTTGCGAATGTTATGGTTAAATTTGGATTTCTTTGCTTACTGTTTAGGTTAAAGTTCAATGATTTTTCAAGTATTTATTGGGCATTGCATTTATTCATTTATGAATTGCATATTTAGGTCCTTTGTTTTCACCCCCTCATTTGTTTATTTTTGAGTCTGTTCTAATGCAAATGTTTTCATTTTATTTAATAAAAGGCATTCTGGTTTTAGTTTTAGTTTAAGTTAGTGAAATTTCTGTTTCTTCTTTTGTGGTGTCTGGCTTTGATCAATCATCCTAGGACAGATTTTTCCTTTGCCAGTGTTAGACATATTTTCTTATAGTATATTTTCATAATTTCTTTGTTTTTGCAATTAAATCTTTAATTCATATGGACTTTATTTTTGTGCATATAGGTTGGAATCTTGTTATTGCTTCTTTTTTTTTCCAAGTGGAAAGCCAGTTCTCTTAACTTTTATTGAATAGTCCGTCTTGCCTTGATCTGAAATGCTCTTTTTCTCAAGCACTAAATGCCCCTGTAGTGTATTTGTGAATGTCTGTTCCCTTGGTGATCCAACAGTTCCTATGCTAATTTTTACTACTGTAAGGAATTCTGAAGCTTTATATCCGATAGGGCGAATTTCCATTCTTCTTCAAAAACAATTTTTGCTCTTAAAACTTAAAGTTTGAGAACTTACATTTTCACTGGGGTTTTGATTGAAATTGAGCTAAATCTGGAGAGAACAGTCCTCTGGTAATATCTTTTAGGTTTTATAGTTTTATTCTCATATATCTTGAAATTTTAAATTATTTGAACTTATAATAACAGTGTGGTACATGGAATATTTTTCTATTATAACCATTAACTGGTTAGCATTCACTGATGCCTTCATTTTCTGCAAATATTATATCTAACAATCTTATTGAAATCTATTATTCTTATAAGTGTTTCATCATTCTTTTGGATTTTCTAGATAAGCTGTCATGGCATCTACAAAAAAATAAAAACATCTTCTGATGTCGTCTTTTAAGTTTGGGGTTCTTGGGTTCACTCTGGGAAAGATTTCACCAGAGCTCCCCTTTCAGCGGCACATGGTGAGATTCTTCATGAGACAGAGACTCAGTTATATTGAAAGAGGAAGTTTATTAGAAAGAGACAGGAGAGGAAAAGACACGCACAGGTGTAAGTGGGCAGGAGGAGCTGCCTGGAAAGGGACAGGCTTGCAGAGGGAGAGGACTGCATAGTTGCAGGCAGACGGCCTAAGGAGAGAGTGGCCTCCACTGGGGGAGGTCAATGCAGAGAAGCCCCGGCATGGTCACGGGCAGGCAAGGAGGCTGCTGCCCGCAGAGGGAGAGAGTGGGTGGGAAGAAGCCCCTGCACAGGCACAGGGGGGCGGTGGAAGAGCTGCCCTGTGCTGGTGGTGAGACTGCCCTGATATAGGCAGTTTCTCCTTGGGAGGGGCTCTCTCCCTGTGAGCCTGGGTG